TTTATAGTTTATAGTTACTCAGTTAGTTCCTTTTAGCTTTTAAAGTCCATTCCTTGTGCAACTAGATATAAAGGTTCCGATTCTTTAGTATTTTCATCATCACTATTTTCCTCAACTTCTGGTCATTCATTTAAGCAAGGTAATTCTATGTCTGTTGCTTGTAATCTTTTATCATACATTTCTAACTGATCAAATTTATTTTCCAACATGTCTAAATAAGGTGGTTCTTCAACAACTATTAATATATCTTTTTGAGTTTCACATATATTTGACTAATTAAATTCATTACTTGGTTCACAGATATCAACACTACTACCATAATCATCCTCAATATCAATAATAAGGAGAATAAAGGGAGTTCTGTATTATTAAAATAAGGTGGTTTCTCAACTTTCAGATGTCGTAATTCTTCTATATCAGTTCTCCATTGAGTTTTATGTATATTCGAATAATTAAAATAGTCTTTGGGTTTGTAGATATCAATACTACTATCACGACCATCTTTAGTATCAAATAACAAAAAAAATAAAGAGAGTTCTATATTATTAATATTTGTTAAGTCGTTTATTACGAATTACACTAATCTTTTTCTATTCCTAGTTCTAGAGAGAAAATCAAGTACAAAAAGATTGACAAATTCAAAAATTGTTATTTATAAGACCAGATCTAATTATATTATAATTAAATAGTTAATTTAATAAATGACGATCATATATGTAAACAAGTGGTGTTTAGCACCACTAGTTTGATATAAAATTTTTGTTATATTATTTGAACTCTATATCCAAAAGATATTAAAACTAGAAATTCAAACAGAGTCTGCATTGAAGTTATTTATAATCTAAACCTTATAATATTAATTTTTTTAAAAGTAAGTATAGTGTTTGAAAATGAATTAAAAATCACAGTTAATCCGAGATTGATCTAAATTTGATCTGAATCTGTAATTCAGATTGAATCTGAGAGTAATCTATGCTAATCTGATGATTTGTTACATATATTTGTTACAATATAAATAATAAATTTGAATTTACAGTCAAATCTCTAAAATTGCACCCTCTTGAGACCAGTTATAAAAGACCATTTATAGAGGGGTGCATTTAAAGAAAAATAAAATTTTTTATAATAAATTATTATTATATATTATTGTTATTAATATTATTAAATTATATTATTTATTTTATTTGTTTTTTGCTGCTAAAACTGTATTTTTTTATTTCAAACTATATATATTTATATATATATTTAATGAAAATGCAAGTCTATATTAGTTTGTGCCATTGGACTAATTTTTTTCTTTCCAATAAAATTTTCAAGACTATCGACTAATTTTAGTTGCTTATTAGTTTCATCTTGTTGAAGTAAAAACAACTTAATACTCTTTAAATTCTCTAATGCAGCAGCAGCACTAATAATCGGTAGTTTAATACTATCATCTATTTCATCAGAATTATCTATCTCACTTGATTCACTTGTATCTTCAGAACTAAATATACTAACAAGTTCTTCTATAACTTTATCATCTGGAACTTCATAGATAATATTTTTATCCAAAATGTTTAAAAATTTATTAACTCTCATTAGATTTAGAAAAGATAAAGAATCAAGCACTTCAATAAGTTCATCATGTATAGGATCATTTCTAAAAAAAAAAATTAATATTTATTAGAAATATATATGTATGTATATAAATGCGTATATATTTAACAAACAGTAACAAATAATACAAGTTATTACCTAGTTTATACAGAATTAGCACTAATAGAAAGGATCTTTATTTTGTACTAACAATTCTTTATAGTTTCAACAGTAACTTCCTTCTAACCTTTAATAACATAATAGATAGCCTGAAGTATATCTATCTTCAAGTCTTGAATTAAGTTGCCTCCCTTAGCCTGTTTCAATATCTATCTAAATTGTTATAGATAAATAAATAAATAAAGGGCATTAAGTTAATATAAGTAACAATTTCGAATATAAGAATAAATAAGATAAAAGCAAAAATAGATTTATAAGTTAGTATATAAGTATATAAACAAATCAAATAAATTAACAGTTTATAAATTATAATATATAATTAGAAATAAATGAATAAATAGAAATAAATTAAAGAATAAATAAGTAAATAAGCGAAGTAAATAAATGGTGAATGAGTAGATAAATAAATAATAAACGAATAGATAAATGAGTAAATTAATAAATGAATAAGCATATTAATATAAGCAAAAATGATAAATAAAATATTATATAAATGAGTGAATAAATGAACCAATAAGCAAATAATTGAATAGATGAATAAACAAATGAATAGAGATAAAATGAATAATGAGTGGATGAATGAGCGAATAAATAAAATAATAAAATAAATTAACAGATAGATAAATAAGTAATAAAATAAATAAATAGGTATATTAAAATAAAAAGAATATATAAGAATGTTAAAGAAATTAAATTAGTACAATATAATTATAAATTGTTATAGAAGCAAATAAATAAATATATAGTAAAGAAAATTATAAACCAGAAACAAATAGTAAGTAAAGAAATCGATAAATAAATTAATAAATATGTAAAATGATATATTATAAAGGTGCAAATAATATATATATAATAATAAATGAATCAATAAATAGAAGAATGTAGGAGTAAAAAAATAATGTGTGAGTAAATAAATTAAATATAAATAAATTAATTGAATTAGTATTTTAATAGGCAAATCGCGAGTCATCTAAACAAAATATTTTTTTTTTATATATAAATTTTACTATAAGCCCGAATGTAGAGCACGCCTATCTAAAACTTTTTTTCTTACTAAGTAAATTATACTTGGGCTTGTAACAAAAGTTGTAGAGCTTATCAAGAGGCATCTAA